CGCCCGAGCGGCTCATCAAAGAGACACCACGTCTCTCTTTTACGGCCAAATAAAGCGCATTCAATAAAAACTGTGGCAGAAGATCAACTACTACTGCCACTACTGCTGTAGAAGTCGGTCCGGTTTTAAATCGTCCGCCTCCCCACTAGAAGAGCGCACGGGCAGTGGTGACTGACAAATGGGTGAGAGGAGGATGAGCGCAGCTCGTCTCCGGCGGCTCTCTTGCTCTCGCGACTGGTTGGGAACAAAACTTCGGATATTCGCGGTGCAAACATGAAAAATATTGTTTAGCAATTCAATAAATAATGTTCACAAGCACGATGGGATATGGGACATGGCGCCTTAAAAGGGATCGTCCAGAAAGTGCGTGCGTTTTACTCAGACTCATCTCATTCGACGAAATACGGGTGCTCAGCGCCTGCGAGACTCGGGGTAGGCCAGCCCGCGGTACACCCATGCCCTGAAGGCAAGATGTTGCCTATCCTACAGGCGTTATGAGAGCTTGCTGAGGCTGAACTTGGCAGGTTCGGAACGGCGAATGACGGACGTACTTTCTGCATGATCCTTTACGCGAAATTTCCGCATGGGCCCCTCGAGCATGCCTGGCCTGGTCGGTTGAGGTCGGGGTCGGGCTCAAAAGTATCACCGCTGCTGCAGCTGGAGGGCACCGGAGGGCACAGAAGGGGGACCAGTCATTTGCAGATCCGGTCGCGGATCACCTTTACCCGCGTGACTCTCCGACTCGACGTCCGAGCGCGCTGCGCACGGCGGCACGGGCGCTCGCCCAATAAAAGGGAAGTCCCGGGCGGGTGAGCAGGGCGAGGTCGAAGAAAGGGCACCGCCGCGCGTGGACGGGTGGCGTGGTGGGCGGAGCCAAGTGGAACTTCCCTGATATCAAAGTTATGTCACAGGATAAGAGATCGTTTTCCTCAGAGCCATTCGGCAAATTTGCGGGCGCTCGGCGCCTGTGAAACCCGGGGTAGGCCGACCCGCAGTACACGCATGCACTGCAGGCAGGATGTTGCCTACGTATCAGGCGCTATGAGCGCAAGCATAGGCTGAACTTGGCAGCCGATCGACGAACGTATTGTTTGGATGGTCACTAGGGATCGTACAAGATGTATTGGTAGCATTGAAATGAGGGGTGGTAGGTAGTGGTTTCCGTGCTTTCCCCACCAAACAGACTCGGTTGGTCAACGGCCCCATAAAATGAAGTAATCCGAGCACTATCCTTTCAAAGTATTCGATGCTAAAGTGTTCTATGCTGATGGTCCGTTCTCACTCTGTCCCCCTCGCAGGCATGCAGCACCTGGTGATCCTGGAGCCGGAGCCCTGGGGGCTGCCGCTGGAGGAACGCCTGCTGCCCGAGTACCTGTCGGACCTGGGCTACCGGACGCACGCCGTCGGCAAGTGGCACCTGGGCTACCACCGGCGCGAGTACACGCCGACGCAGCGGGGCTTCCGCTCGCACTTCGGCTACTGGAACGGCTTCCAGGACTACTTCGACCACACCGTCAAGGCCACGGTGAGTGTGTACGGGCGCGCGTGGCAGCGGCGCGAGTCTAGTTTCGACAGACACGCGCTGTCGGTGCGCGTATAGGAGTCGCTGACCCGCACAACGTGACAAGGAAAGGAACCGGGGCGTGGCCGCATGTCCGGAGCGGCCGACACTGATCAGGAAGCAAACGCCATCGCCGCCTAAAAACAGTGTTCATCGCTAGGGAAATTTACCCGACCTCGTCCCCGACCCAGCTATGCTCTGTCTCACTCCAATGAAGGGCTCTCTGGCGCCTGGCAGTGCGAGAACATCAGCTGATCTACAATGTTGGGTGTCTCCTGGGCAAGTCAGCGTTCCACCGTCTCTCATATACTGCTTCCATATGGCACGAGTGAGGCGCGCACACGCAGTCACGACCGAGTGATTGTGTGTGTGTGTGTGTGTGTGTGTGTGTGTGTGTGTGTGTGTGTGTGTGTGTGTGTGTGTGCGCGCGCGCGCTCTCGTACCTCACTCGACTTACCCGCACGATTATTACTGGAACGTGCGCGTATGCGCGAGTGTGTCTTGTGTTCGCGACGACGCGCCGGCGGAAAACGATTTCACTGATTTGTCTCACAATTTGTTTCCGGGGGGGGG